ACTCCCGTTACGTAACAGTTCCCTCTAGCCTATCACCTTGCATCGCCACGCAGCACTTCAAGAGCTCAAACACTAGGAGAAAACAATGTGGTAAAACACGATCAGTCGATGTGTCCTCAAACCAATCTATGAAGGCGGCCACGCATAGGTGAAGGGGTCCTATTGAGGGCCATAGTAAAGACTACAACATGGCGCCCGTAGCGGGGACAAAAGGTTTTGTTCTCTAGTAACCACTTAGAGAAATTAGGACGTAAACCAGAGCGTGGTGTGTTTTGATTGGGTGATATGTGAAGTGTACCTGTATTGAAGTTCGGGAAAGTGAACCGCTCTTCTAGCCATAGCTTCGGCTGATCCTTCGGCTAGCTTCGGCCCCAGGACACCTTCGGTTTAGTTTGCTGCTAAACCTACTTCTCGAGTTCAGGACAACCTATACTCAAAATCATTTAACCCCTTCATAGCAAAAGTCTTTAGTACTTAGAGCACCTTTTTGATGTTATAACCTGCTGCAAACGATATGCATAGCAAGACACCAGTTTCTGGCAGCGTTTCTGAGGAATCTAACGCCCAATGTTCATGAGCAATGGCCTCTTTTTCACCAATATTCTTGGGTTTGCGTACTGCAACTGCCTTTTTAACTCCAACCTGAGATTTTCTATGGGGTTCAAGTCAGGTGACTGTGATGGTCACTGTAGACTCTTCCAGGACCTCTTTTGCAAACCAAGCCTTGGTGGAATTTGAGTTATGCTTGGGATTATCGTCCTGTTGGAAGGTCCAACAACACCCAAGCTTCAGCTTACTCATAGACGGCATGACATTTTCTCCCAGGATTTCCTGATACTTCAATGAATCCATCTTGCATTCCACACAGTGCAGCCTGACAACTTTGGGAAGATGTCCTTATTTTGCTGAAGAAACTCTCTCACCTCTTACTGTTGAGCTAAGGACAGGGCCTCAGCTATATGAACCTCCCATATGCCCTCCTATTTTTTTTATTTTTTTAGGGGCCTATCTCCCATGGCTAAGAGGGCTTCTCTATCTTTCCAAGATTTAATAAAATTTACATGGTTGATCTGCTCCGTCTTCTACCTGGCTTGTACACTTCGTTGTTTACCTCCCCAACCCGTCTAAGTATCTTATAGGTTCCCTGCCATTTAGCCAGCTTTATTACCTACTTTAGTATATTTAGGATGGTACCTCTCACTGCAAACCAGGATAAGGATAACAGTCAAGTCAGATCTAAACTCAAAATGTTAAGTACTGTTTATATGGTTCTGCCATTGCCAGCCTTCTGAAAAATTTAGTTGCCTGGCTGTGTCTGGCTTTAATACTTCTTAGTCACAGATCTGGAACAAGCATGCAGCCAGTGGAAGTCAGAATTCTTATCTCTAACTTGATCATGTGCCTGTAACTCAGAGAGTATTCAGCAATCAGTCAGAAGGAGAAGTCAGCAGTGGCAACCTACATATTTCTCTTATGGCAGTGGACTTTACTGAAATAAGCCAGATAAGGATGTGTGGTGAGGGGTATGAAAGCAGTATGTATAAATTGACCTGTCAGGTATAAGCATCAGCTAACTATAGTGCTCTGTGAAAGCAGAGTTGTCAGTGTAACAATGCAGAATCTGCTGTGATTGTTCACCAGAACAGAGAGCTGCTATGGGTCACATGAGCATTCTAATCAAAGAAAACCAGAGAGACACAGAAGAGAGTTTTCTAGACAACAAAATGTGAACACCGTGTGACATGAATTTTACCTCTATGCTTTAATTCTAGCCAACAAACTGTATCCAGACTGCAAAGCCCTTTCACCCACTCCCTAATAATTTAAAAGGAGACTCAAACTTGGGTTTGTATCATTTGTATTGTGTTTTATAGAAGGCCATGATTCCAGTGATCATGGATGCTACTGTAACTAGGTGTATATAGTAGAACAGAGATTGGCAACAAAATGACAGTACTGGTTATACCAGCCTATTGTAAAGTGACACTAAACTCAGGAGTTAAATCTTAAAAATGAATTCAAGTACCTTAACTATTAACAAAAATGTATCTTCTTTGTGTATCACTCGGCTGTAGAGCCTCAAATCATCTCTGAATTCATGCTGACACTGCCCTTCCTTCTGGAGGGTCCTGTGGGTGTTGTAAAGTAGCCACTAGGGATGCACAGAAATTTGGCCGAAAATGGTACTTTGGGAAAAAAGCATCCCCTCTGACACAGAGCAACGTCCAGCAGGGAGGAGAGAAACCTTCAGGAGGCTGAGTGGGGCAGCGAGGAGAGCGCTGTCAGTATGTCACAGAAGGCTGAGCTCTCCTCCCGCACCTCCCTGCTCGATCTCCTGTGACAGGCAGATAAGGCTGGAGAGTGGTGCAGGGAGGAAACAGAAGTTATCTGTCAGAAGACACTGAGCTCTCTCCCCCGCACCGCCCCCGCTCTACCTCCTGTGACAGCGAGTCAGGATGGAGAACGGGTTACAAGCACTCAAGGATCAGCGGATCGGTGAGTGTTTGTAAATGACTGAGGACACAGCATGTTTACTTTATCCCCAATTATGAATAAACATGAAGTGCTATACATTACTTCCTGTTCATTCATGATTGTGGACATAGTAACTCATACTATGTCCACAGTTTATGAATGGACAGGAGCACTCAGTATAGAGATTCCTGTTCCTTCATAACAGGGGCTGCAGAAAAAGAGATTGAGGACACTGTGTCCTCAATCTCGTTTTCTATTTTAAAAGAGCCCCCAACAGTAACGTAAAATAAATAAATAAAAATGTTTTTTTTTTAAAAAAGGTTAGAAAAGTGGTTTTTGTTCCCCATGGACCTGTGTGTGTTGTAAAGTAGCCACCGCTGCAAGCTCACTCCAGTGATGGACTACAATCTCATGTTTAGTTTACTAATTTGTATTGAGATTTTAGTGAGCTTGGAGCGAGTGAGTTTGGAGCTATGGCTACTTTACAACACACACAGGGACCATGGGGAACAAAAGTAGTCACCCTCCAGAAGGAAGGACAGTGTCGGCACCAATTCAGAGATGATTTGAGGATCTACAGCTGAGTGATACACAAATAAGATACATATTGGCCAATAGTTAAGGTACTTGAATGCATTTTTACTAGGGATGTCCCGATACCGATGCACATGTAAACCCCAAATCAAAAATGTAATATATTGCGTACTACCAATCCTCAGAGGAGATGCTGTTCTATTAGTTTTCACCTGGTAATTTTGCCAACAACACTCACTCACCATACCGTATCAGGACAACAGAGAGCAGGTTTCTGTAGTCCTTAGAGATATCTGAAAACAATGTAATTGAGAAGAGTCAGCAAAGGAAGTTATCAGCTCACATGATGTCTGGAGGATCATCATTTTGTTTTAACTTATCAAACAGATGTAGCACCCTGCCTATTAAATCTAGAGTTTATCAGTTTGTATGTGGTCTGATACTATTTTGTAGTTTGGTTCATGTGGTTCTCCCCCTAAACAACCTATCATTGCTTGCCATCTGTCTGCTGCCAGAAGTATTACAGGGTGTGCCCTGGTGATAGAACAGAGCAGCCAATGGGATTGCTAGGAGTAGATATCCCTTCCCAGCCAATCACTGTTGAATGAACCATTGGTGCATGCTGGGGGAGGAGATAAATACTCGGGGTGGGCCATGTGAGCTCTCTCTTCCTCCCCCAGGCCCTGCCTGCGGGGATGCTGCACTGGACAGCCTAAGTGGACTAGGCCCTAACAATCACCCTGGAGCCTGGTGGTTGCAGGTCCAGTGGTTGCTACAGCTAAAGACAAGGATCAGTAACTCTTACCTCAAGTAATGCAGTTACAGGTGCTTGGCCTGTGGTGCATGGAAGCTGTAGCCACACTCCCTGAGAAGCCATGGAGTCTGAATCTGCCTGGATGATCCTAACCCTCCTCTACCTCTCTCCCTAAAGTTCTTCAATAAATGTTTCAAGCATCACAACTACAGTCTGGACTTCACTTCAATCGCTCAACGAAAGGGTGGTAAGAGCTGATGGGCAAAGTGAGCAACAATACCCCTATACAAGAAGAATCGGAGCTGTTGTAACCCATAGCAACCGACCCTAGCAACTCAAGGTGTGCATAATAGAGGTTTCTTATAGAGGAAAGATAGGGAGACCCGTTAGTTCAGTTTACTATAGATCACCCCTTCAGAGCCACGGGTAGGGTTATCCTATATAGGGATGGCGCTGACCGGGAAGGGGGAGCGCTACACAGATATACCGTGTTTCCCCGAAAATAAGACACTGCCTTATTTTTTTTTTGCACGAAATATGACACTAGGTCTTATTTTCGGGGGATGTCTTACCTGGCTGGGGGAGGAGTGGACGAGGTCCCGGAAGGCGGTGTGCTGTTGCCGGTCCCGGCGGATGTTGCTTCCATTGTGCGTGCGGGCGTGAGCTATAGTGCTAGGTCTTATTTTCGGGGTAGGTCTTACTTTTGGGGAAACACGGTAACAAAACAATTTAATGAAATATTTAAGAAACCAATAGGGAGCAAATACTGAATTCTTGTTTTTGGGTTTAGATATGCTTTAAACAGATTTTGAAATCAATAAACTCAGACAGGAAGTAACAAGTTCAAGGAACAGCTTTATTTAAAAAGAAGTCTATATAAAAAAAACCTTCTCTGCATATAACATATATTTCATATAATTACATTGGCAGGTCACAAGTTCTTTGGGGCTTCTGGGAATTTCAGCGAAAGCCAAAATACAGTTCAAGTCACACATCATTCAACAGCACGGTTTTGTTTTGTTTTTTAAATATTTAATAAAACACAGCCTATTTTCCCTTTTAAATAAAGAACACATTATAAAACCATTTTTGTTTGGTGCTTAAAAAAATAAAATTCAGTTAAAAAAAAAAAGACCTGAGACAGTGATGCAGCCATTGAGGGGTGAGGACTTTGAGGAAATTATGGAAGGATGATGCTGCCTTCACACAGCATATTGTTTTATAGCGTTTTTTTCCCCTTTTAGCATCAGGTATTCAGTTTGATTATTCTAAACTCAGTTAGTAATGCTATAAGTAGAAAGAGAACATAGAGGACAATGAGGGCAATTCCATAGGCACGACGAAGATGGAAACATTGCAGCGGCACGAGAACTAGTGAAAAAACCAGGCTGACTCCAAGACCTCCTGCCAATACCCATACCAAAAGACCTTGTGCATCCAGCTAAAAAAAACAAACAAACAAATGGACAGAAATTAGAATGTATTCTTTAAACTTTGCTTTAGGTATGCTACCACAAGAACTATTTCGAATCAGAGCTGTTGTAAATTCCAACTGACATTGCTATAGCATTGGTCTGAAGATACAAGCAAGACTCTTAATGCTATGGTACACACCTAGAGTTTTATTTAACCAACTGTATTCTCTGCCCTTTCTCATGGTGCGTCCTATTCTGTTAAATCCCTGTATATGGCATAGCCATCCAAAGAAGCTTGGCCTGTTTTATATTCTGTAACAATTTCATACTCTCTAAAGCAAATAGAGGCAGAGGCAGATGGGGCCTCAAGATACCTTCTTGGCCCAATATGCAACTGCCTTTAATTTGGAGCTGCCCACAAGCCCATATTGTCCAGAGGACAATTTGATCATATGACAGCCACGTACATGTCCTAATGCAGATCCATCCCTGTCATTTATTATCTAAACAGGTACCTCTTGGACACGCATATATATGAGCCAATTACCAACAGGGATAATGTTTACATACATGAGTGACTTAAAGGGGACCTTTACACTCTTCTACACAAAAATTCTACCAATGCATGCCTCTATGTATGATTAATAATAACATAGACACGTCAGGTGTAAAATGCGGTGATTGTGAAATACTTACACTTGCAGAGCATTCACTACCTGCTATGAAAGGGCAAAATGACTGCAGTTTGCCAAAACAATGCACACAGGGATTGCCTGGTCATCAGCAGAGTTTCGCTGGAAAATCTCATCTCAGGGAAAGGCATTTTCCTCCCCTGAGATGATGTGCATGGTACTAGTCACATGTGCCAGATTTTCAGGAAGTAATAGGAGAGCTAGTAATCTGCCCTTAGTAAACATGGCCACTGCCAGAAGACTAGGGAAGAAAAGAGAAAAAAGGTATGCAAAGAATACAAAGCCGGCAATTATCTAGAAGTATGTGTTTGTAGATTGTCATTACTAAATATCTCTAAAGGTGTGTTTGTTGTTATTTTAAAGATATGGGTAAAGGTCCGCTTTAAGGGAAAGTATCATGCATTTTCATAAGCACATATTTCAAGTTATTATTGTCTAATTTTCCTTAAAGTGACTCTAAACTCAGAAGTTAAATCATAAAAAAGCATTCAAGTACCTTAACTCTTAACAAAACTGTATCTTATTTGTGTATCACTCAGCTGTAGATCCTCAAATCATCTCTGAATTTGTGCTGACACTGTCCTTTCTTCTGGAGGGTGCCTACTTTTGTTCTGCATGTTCCTGTGTGTGTTGTAAAGTAGTCACTGCTCCAAGCTCACTCCTGTGATGGACTACAATCTCACATATAGTTAGCTAATTTGTATTGAGATTGTAGTCCATCACATGAGTGAGCTTGGCGCGGTGACTACTTTTGCTCCCCATGGTCCCTGTGTGTGTGTTGTAAAGTAGCCACCGCTCCAAGCTCACTTCTGTAATGGACTCCAATCTCATGTTTAGTTTACTAGTTTGTATTGAGATTATAGTCCATTTTTTTGTAACCTAAAAAAAAGAAGGTTACAAAAAAATTATTTTGGTTTTCGGCCTGACAAATTTTTCTATTTTCAGTTTCAGTGTGAAAATTCCATTTCCGTGCACCTCTAGTAGCCACTACCCTAGGTCCTCTCCTGTGGTAGACTACAATCTCAATACAAATGAGTAAACTAAATGTGAGAACGCAGTCAACTATGGGAGTGAGCTTGAAGCAGAGGCTACTTTACAACACACACAGGGACCATGGGGAAGAAAAGTAGCCACCCTCCAGAAGGAAGGACAGTGTCGGCACCAATTCAGAGATGATTTGAGGGTCTACAGCTTGAGTGATACACAAATAAGATACATTTTTATTAATAGTTAAGGTACTTGAATGTATCTTTAAGATTTAATTCCTGCGTTTAGTTTTACTTTAAATACATTTTTGATAGGAATCTGAATTTTATTTGTATGCTCTTCCACATTTACAGTAGATTGCTTCAAGAAGAATTTGTAGTTTAGCTACTATGGACTATAGACTTGATTTGTGTTGTAAAGTACTACCATGGTGTATCACTGCAAAGCAGGAGGCTGTAATGAGCAAATGTGGCTGGCCAGTGCATAGATGCATTGAAAAACTATACAACAATTATAAAATATTTAAAGTAGAACTATGGGGTTAGGGCTTTTCCCCATAGTTCTCCTTAGGGTAACGGAAGGACACAAACTAGCGTCCTCCCGTCACCCTAAGCTCAGTATAACGCTAGCTACTGCTCGCTGTATACTGAGACGCCGCAGCTGAAGCGGATTCCGATATATATGTCTGGATCCGCCCAGCTGCGTGATTGACAGCTGGCTCTGCCTATCTAAAGGCAGAGCCAGCTGTAACCGCCTCCTCCCGTGTCCGTTCCGCCAGTCAGCGCTGGCGGATCGGAGAGGGGGGAATCCAGCCCCTCCCCTGTTACGGCAGAGAGCCGTGACAGGATCGAGAGGTGAGCGAACGCCGGTATGTGTTCGCTCACCTCCCAATCTACTGAGCCGACCTGTGACAGTCATTGTCACAGGTCGGCTAGAACTATGAGGTGAGTGAAAAGCACTCACCTCATTGTTCTCCTTTAACACCAAACTGAGAACATCATTTACATCAAGCCAATCTCTTTTACATGTTCATCTTAATAATAAAAACAATGCATTCCATTTAAGACTGTTGGAGTGTATATACAGCCAAAATACTTTTCGTTTGGATACAGTTAGAACCTATGTTAACAAAAATGTTTCTGTCATTGTCCCTTTGGGAAGGTTTACTTCCTTTCCTAGATACACAACAGGAAGGATGTGGTGCAAGATTTGGGATTTCCCAAGACTACCAAGAAGAAAAAAAAAAGTTTGGTTAAACAAGAGGAAGTTGTACAGAATGCCACTCATGCTTGTATGAACAGCAGTAGTTAATTGGTAAAAATACACAAAAATAGAAGTATAAATTAAATAAAAAGAGGTCTGAAGGACAACTCACCAGTAACACAGTCTTCGACGGGCCCATCTGCAGCAAACAGCCTAGACCAACTCCTATTAACACATCTGTAGCCCAGTTAAGGAAGAAAAACCGTAACAGCTCTCTAAAAACTATTTATTAGGTTAAAAGGTAATTTACCTGTTTGAACAGATGCGAACATACACAGTAGTATATAATGGTAAATTGTAGATCATGTAGTGAGTTAACAATCTCTCCCCATTCAACGTGGCTTTTGACTGAATCCTCTGTTTATCACACTGCTGTCATAACATCATTCTAGCATAACTCTTGTGAGTAATATTATACTGCAGGAAAATGGGGCTTATTCAACAAAAACACGCACAGATCAGTAACCAATAGCAACCCGATTACAGTTTCCTGAAGTCAAATCAGTACAGGTTGATATCTGTTTAATTACTATGGGTTTCGCTTTGCCATTTGCTTTTTTAATTAACCCTCAGTATGACTGATACATACAATCTGGATAATAGAAAAGGAGTACAAAATTGGAGTTGCTGTCATCAGTCAGAATTCTTGTTTGAAATTTCTACAAAAAGAAAATAAGGTGAAAATCAGACTGATTGCAATAGACAGCAACTCCAATTTGGTGCTCATTTTCTTTTGTCAGTTTCCATGATTCAGCCCCAATATATTACCATACTGTACATGCTAGTTTGTAATTTAGCCCTCATTCATACTGTAATTCGGCCCGCGCGTACAGCTCCGTGCAGGGCCGTACCAAGCAGCTCCTGGGAAGGACAGGTGCTGTGTGTCATTAGTACGCAGCCACCATCCTTCTCTATGGGACTCCACGGCCGTACGCCCCGCTACGCTCACCCGTCCTGCACGTCCGTGCGGGTGAGCGTAATCGTATGCTGACAGGATGGGTCATGTCTGCGTCCGAGCAAGGAAACACGCACCCGTACGGACCTGCACTTGAGGTGAGAGTATTTTGTCTAAAAAAAGACCACTACGCATTCCCTTTACATGGCTAAAAAAACAATGCAAGGATACTGAATATGATTCCTCCAAAACACGCAGAGAATGCCATGCGAGGATAGCCTTGACGAGCCAGTGTGAGGTCAGATACAAAATCTGGAAATGAGTAAAAGAGAGCTCATGAATAAAGCAGTAAGCAGGCAAGACAGCAACATATTCTTTGGGAATTTATGATCTAAAAGGAAGTGGTTTAAAACTTGCGTGTAAAAAATACATTTAATGATGTATTAATTATTACAGATTTGCATTCATTTGTCTATTTTATATCTACCTAGAGAGCTTTAATATAACAGCTGCATTAGGAAAACTGGAAACCTGTTTAATGATTCATATATATGCAGGCTTTGTTTATCTGCGACTGATGTGTATTTGACCATTCTTACGCCTGGGTTCACACCTAGGAGTTTTTGAGCTGTTGGAAAAGCGCTTTTAATTACCCAACACAAGAAATCCCATGATTTTCAATGGCCCTGGTTCACACCTAAGCAGAAAAACCCCAGCGGAAAAAGCCCGAAAAGGCACATGAGCTTCTTTGGGCAGTTAAAAGCACGTTTTTGCCCCACAGACTTCAATGGAAATGCCTAAAAACACGCGGCAGAAGCATGTTGCACATTTTCGTGAGCGTTTTTGCCCGCAATGTTTTATGAGCTGCCAGTCAAAACGCGTGTCTTCATGTACACGCATAAAAATGCGCAAATAACCGCATGCTGCTCGCGTGCGCTTACAGTCACACAAAAACGGTGCCACCTAGGTGTGAACCAGGCCAAAGACTACATTTGACCTGTGGTGTGTTTGAGTGTAACAGTTCCTGTTACATTTTAACTTATTGGTTGTGTGATGTGTTAAAAGGCAAAATGCAGTGTTCATCGACAGAGCCTGTCTGCCCAAGCCCTAATATTCTAACTTGAGTCTTTTCTTCAGAGAGTGCTTTGCAGAATACCAGTGTTCAACTACAGAGAACTGCCGGTGGTCAGATCTTTGTTTGGAAGAGTAACCACTAGAGTACCCAAATCAGTAATAAAGCCTACATATGATTATTATTATTCTTATAAAGGATTTATATTGAGCTGGAATAGGCCTCCTTGAAAAGATGAGTTTTCATGGATCGCCTAAATGGTACAATAACCAGATCATAATGGCTAGCCAGCAAAAAACAAGGGCTATAGTCACTATTGTGTATGCATCTACCACAAGTGATACCAAGCCATCAGCTGAGAGGCAGCATGTAATTCTTTGAGAGGCACCAAGGCGAACATTACATTTTAATGGTGATTTAATTTCCACCTTTCATTTACCAGCTTGTGGGTGGAGAGGAGAATGAGGTGAAAATCTACAATTTAGTATTTGCTGTGTTCTCTCTTGGCCATTTTTGCTGAGTGATGGCTCTGCATCCTGCAAAGCTGTTTGTTGTTCTATTTGGTAACTGCCTCAAGTGATCTGCTACTCTACGATGCAGGAATGCAGTTTGACTGGTGTGTCTACCTCGAGGAACAATGTCATCTACATGACTATATGCTCCTGGAATGTTTTGATGGCCATCTTTGGGGTAAGTGCACTCTAAATTTTGGACCACCCAGTTACTTGTTCACCCTACCCAACTAAAAAAAAACATGGGGTGAACAGTGAGTGGACATTATTTTGGCTAGTGTGTTATTAAAAGTATCATGAATGCCAACAATCTTATAAAATACTCAGCCACTTCAACTACTGACATAAGTGATAATTCAGGCCGGCATAGTATTCCAGTTCATTTATCTCCTTATATATTTGATTGCCCAGCTTTAGAGGGTTACAGTGATATATAGGAGTATTCTAAAGTTTTCCAGTTCCTGTAAATTTAGGTTTACTATTCGCTATAAAAAAACAGAGGTGTATATATAGAAAACATATATTGTTTACTAACCCCCAATACTGTTCCCCCAAGCAAGCAAGGTTAATCCCAGCACTGTGTTACTCAGCCGGAAGATAACTCCAAAAGTGCGTAGCAGATTAACAATTTCAGTTGCAGCAGCACTGATCCACAGAGCACTGGTAACGAATCCCAAGAAGGAAAAAAGCTGAAAAGACAGCAAGAGGAGGCAGTAAACACAAGGTATAAGACACACTGGAGTATGGTGAACAAAACCTGGCTTTTAGGCAGATGCTTACAAAGTAGTACTTGGGTGGCTGGCTGTTCTTTGTAGTGAAGAAGATGATGACTGCCAATGGAGTTCCAATGATCATCAAAAGTGCCCAGATTGGCAGTTTGCCCTGAATAAGGTACAGTCCATCTAAAAGGTGAAAGAAAGCAATACTCACATTAATCTTGATATACAGGAAATAATTGTACATGTCAGGCACAAGCACATGGAAATAATGTTCAGGTAAGTAACTGGCAGAATAAAGGTTGGGATGGTAGCTGTTTACGATAAGATAGTACGGGCACTCACAGGTTCCTGAATTTAGACCGAAAACACAGAGAACAGGACTGGTGATTAGATGAATGCAGTTCAAAGGTCTCTGCCAGTTGTAATCTTCCTTGTCAGGGTCCACCACAGGGACAGAAATACGAAGTAGCACCTCTATGGGGTACTGAGGAAAGGGAGTAAAAAAATAAATTAATCACAAATGCAATGGCTTGCCCAGTCTTTTAACCCCCTTGATCCTTCTTACCTTTACAACTTTTAGAATTTTCCAATGCCAGGGTTTTTGTCTCCACTTCCTTGCATCCACTGGATTCACAGATTCCAGGAGGATCTGCCAGGTACCTTGCTGCACTGGTAATAATGGTTGATACTCATCGCCTGTGTAAACAATTATGTTCTTTTTCAAAGATTTTAATACATTTTTTTGAACAAAACAAATAAAATAGGCATTAATATAGATAAGTGCCACAAGTAGATTTCAAAACAAAAACCCGTACAAATGCTACATAATGGATAAAAGAACAGGCAACATATACATAGCAATCCTATAAATTCAATAGAGAAAAGAAGAAAGGAAAAAAAAAGGGAAGATAAAAAAGTAGGCAGTGAAAATAGAAAAGACAGGACAATATAGTGGAAGAAGGAAACGAGAACAACAGATGAAGCCGGGGCTCACATGCATTAGTCATGACTAGAAGAATGACAAGCTCTCTGGAAAAGTGAGGGGTGAGCGTAGCCTATCCAAGGTTGCTAGGTTTTCAGGAACTGCTTATTAGAGTCTAAAAGTATACTAGACGGTTTTTTATTAATAAAAAAGAAATGCATTCTACATCTAACCTCATCAAGACACAAATTGTTTCTTCCATGCAGCAGCGATAGCCTGTTTAACTGCCAGCAATACACAATTATGTAACTGTCCTCAGTTCATGAATAAAATTACACAAAAAAGTGTTCTCTTAAACAAATGTAAGACTTAAGCTGAAACCCAGCCAGTTTACAAAATAATCACATTTGGTTGTTCCCACCACCTTGTATATGAAGTACCTAATGCTCATTTAGTCTAGTGTGCAAAAAGAGGCTTACTTATTCCCTGCTCCCTCTGTAGCCAAAGCTCTTCTCTGCTCCAGCCCTGAAAATTGGGTGGGCCTCTGATGTCATAACATGCAATGCAGGACCAGTAGTGGCTACTGGTCCTGCAATGTATGGGAACACGTTGTTATGTGGTGGCCACATGAGGAGCTACTTCATGGGACCAGTCATGAATACCGGACTGGCGGGAAAGCAGATTGCAGGACTTAGGAATAAGGTAAGTATTACATGCCTCCAAGACAAAACTAGCATTACACCTTTATATTAGTTAGATCCTCATAAAAGGTCACTGCAAGAAAAAAGCAGTCCACACTGGCATAAACCATGAGCTATGGTGCGGCGGCGGCATGGGGGTTGTCACTTTACCCCTTCATGGAGTAATCTTACTCAGTTGCAGACTGTACATCACAACTAAACAGTTTAAAGTGAATTTATGAACACAGAATTTCCCCATTTGGTAGGAAGTACAAAGACAAACAAATATCATACCAAACTCAGAGCCATGAGGACTAGGTTCTCTAGATTCATCTTTTTCCGTTAGAAGATCTGATTATAGAAAGAGGAAATAGAGGACATGAAAAAAGCCTCATTTCCCAAGATAAGTTATACAGTTTAACTTCTGTGTGGTAAAACTTATAACTGAGCTTGATGGAGTTTTAACTTTTATTACCCTACGTTTACAGAGCTACCGAGTGACACTGTAACCATCAGCTCTTCAAAGTAAAAATAGAGCAAATAGACTAAGAGCCATCATGTGGTTTAATGCAGCAAAGTAAGATGTTATCTATAAATCCTTTCCTTTCCTAAACTGGAAAAAGATAGCTTATTTGGTGTCATGGGCAATGGGGAGTGAACCGGCAGGCTACATCACCCATCTGCTTTGAATAACCCTTCAAGTGCATGTCTGAGATGACATTACAGTGTCTCTGCTGCACTGAAATGCCAAGCAGTGTTGTCAGCCCTGCCTAGTTCTCTTATGCTGGACTACAGAACACACCTTCCCATCTCCATACCATCAGAGGAGGTGTTCTTTTGTTCAGCAGAAGAGAATTGGGCAGGGCCAACAACACTGCTTTCAGCGCAGTAGAGGCAGTGTGCACTGAAATCACTAACTCAGTGGATTGAAAGATCAACAGGTAATTTCCAGTGCTTAAAACATTTTTAGAGACAAGACATGGGAAAATATGCACACATTGAAGAGATGAATCTGTTTTTTTTTCCCCCAATGTTGGCATACCAGACATACCATGTAAAGGTTTCAGTTGGGCAGTTTCCTGCAGATTCCCATAGAGCAAGGGAAGGAAACATCCGGCCCTCCAGCTGTGGTGGAACTACAAATCCCACAAGGCATTGCAAGATTCTCACAGCCACAGACATGACTCCCGAAGAGAGATGCATCATGGGATTTGTAGTTTCACCACAGCTGGAGGGCCGGAGGTTTGCTACCCCTGCCATAGAGCAATAAAGCCTCTCATAGCTAAACTCTTCTTGTAATTGTTTGCATTATAGAGTTCAAATCCAACATTTGCCTCAATATGGACTGTGGCATTTGAGAAAACTTTAGAAGCATGTACCTATTTATGCTGGCATGAGTTCACTTCCCAGCAACCTCTCAAATATGGGAGGAGTTGAGTTTGATGGTAGGGTTGTCATTTGCCATATCCTTAATGAGGTAGGAGAGTACAATGGAAACAACAAAACTACAAATAATAAGTTACCTGGCTCGCTTAAGCTGGGGGCAGCCAACAGATGATGGCGCATCCTCTGATAGATCCAGGAGGAGAGCACAACAACAAGTACATAAGCCACGTACATCAGTAGATACACTGTGTAAACAAAATAGAAAACTGTAATAGTAATACAGCTTTTATTTTTTGCAAGATAAAAGAGTTCAGCCTTTCTTTGGGTACAGCAGTATTCTTGCCCATATTCTTTAATATTCCTCTGCAGACCAATGTCTAACAGTGAGAGGCATTGAGGCTGCGATACCAGCTTTTGGGCCAGACCCGAGGGGCAAGCGGACGATCGGTGGGATTTTCTCTTCTGGGCTCTCTTGGAAATTTACTACACAATGATGAGCCTTTTCTTTGTATGATTCTGGAGACACGCCGCCCGCTGGACATTGATTGGAAAAAGATAGTGAGGACGTTGCGGTTTCTGTGAGTTTCTATATAAGCGCTTTCGGCTGCTTATCACAGCCATCAGATCACGGTAAGTGCAAACTTTGAGTGGAGACGTACGGCACTCGCCTAAATCCCCAGCAAGTTTCACAGGATCACCCACATCAACGCACGGATTGCGATAAATTTTGCTGCACCAGGAATGTTATAGGACTGTATGGATTATTCACTGTGTTTTAACACTAATAGTAATATCTAAACAGCATATTGCGGGATATATTGTCCAAGATTATCGTATCACATATACACAGGTGTATATACGAGTATGCTACTCAGTCACTCACTTTTGCACTGTTTCACTTATATTTAGAGCTATACACTGGTTTGTATATTTTTTTTATATATATATTTGGCGGATATATTTTGGACACTGGATACATTTGAAAGTGTATAGTGATCTATACACATTGATCGTTTATTTTCATTCATCACTTATCACGGTTGTAATACAGGTCGATGGACCAATAGTGGTACACATGTTACTTAGTTAGTAAGGCACATTCACAAGAGTGGCGCTGCATATTTATAAATATACGTGATACCAGCTTTTACTTTAAGGTGGAAATTGAGTAAGTACAGAAAGTGAAATGCAGGGGAATTTGTATACACAGCCAAATTTAGAGTAATAAAATGTGTATGATATGTAATGCATGGAATGATGATCTCCACTGGAAGTATTAATTACATTTATTTATATAAAATAGCTGCTGGTCGTTATAAAATCATTTGCAAAGACTGACATTGAAACGGAAACATAATGTAATAAATAGTGCAGTGAGACAAAGATACATACCCAGAATGATCGGTAAAGTCACATAACCTTGATACAGCACGTAAAATGTGAGGAAGATTGCAGCAATATAGAATGTAATATCTCTCAAAAATGGACGAGAAGCAGCAGTAAATGGCTTTACCAATGCGATGCCTCCTGCTACGACTGTGGTGACAAATACACCAGCACCTGGGAAACATGACATATGGGTCACAGACCTGCTTTTTATGGAAGGTAATTGTACACATTCTTAGATTTTATTGTTTTTCATACATACCAAAGAGAGCGCCGATAGCCAGCCCAGCAGTCCTGGAGTCTGAGAATGCAGCCACAGCACTGAACACATCAGGGGCTCCATTCCCAAAGGCTAAAAAGGTGACACCATGAAGTGAAAAGGTCAAGGAAGTTTGCTTTACCAATAAGTAAACCTGTTGTCCAAAATGGCCCATTGTGTCATGTTACCAATAATGACAACTGTTTCTCAGTGTGCAATTATATTTTATTATATTTTTTACGATTATAGTGTGCTGGTAAAAGTGTACCAATTGCTTAAACAGCTGAAATGAAGAATGGAAAAAAAAGGTGGGCTTGTGAGGCAAAAAAAAAAGAAAGTAAAATGAGTATGGATGTTTGAAGTGTGTACATAATAAATGTAGTTCCAACATCACAGACACTGAAACAGAATTATTATTCAGCTGCATAGGGCTGATATACCAACCCTGCTCCACTGTCTACAGCCCCCCGTCCCCCCTCCCAGTAACCAGTTTCTGGCTGCCTACCTTGCAAGTCTGCTGCTATTTGCATGGTTCAAGCAACTGAGCATGTAAAAATGAAATTAAAAAATCTAGGGGGAAGTGTCCCTAACTGTGTACCGGAAGTGAAGGAATGCGATGCATCCTAGCTCCTGGGTCTTGTGTGCATCTGCTCCATTTACCCTGCAGTTGGACTAGCACTATTTTGGCAAGTGGTGGCTTTGGACCTCCAGCCTCTCTTGGCATTCCCTTGATCTCTCCTGGACTGGGATTGTGGCGACATGTCCAGCATATTGGGGGCATCAGCTGCGACTACTTTGCCCTGAAGAAGGAAGTTGCCTTAGGAGTCTGGAAGCAGAATCATTGTTGAGGCTGTGGCTTAGTGTCTGTAATTCCTATGTGCTGCCTAAAGGTGCCCATACACTGCACGATTCTTGTACGAGAATCGCGGGAAATCCCGCGATCATACAAAAATCGTGCAGTGTATGGAAGGCGTGCGACCTTTTCTAATGTACGGTCGCACGACTTTTGTATATCGAGCATGTTGGAAAACCAGCCGAGAATCGTACAATTTTCGGCTGGTTTTTAACATGATCGAGAGATCACTGCCGAACGGGCCGGTGTGCGCACACGCACACTGCCCGTTCAGCATTGTGGTCATCGGAAGCCCGCCCCTCAGGGGGGCGGGCTTGCGATGATCGCAGGTACGATCTGCCTGTCCAAGATGGGCAGATCGTACGTTTTTTTAAGTACTTTACAACCCTCGCAAGACAAAAGTCTTGCGAGGGTTGTAAAGTGTATGGGCACCTTTAAGCCCTGAGGGGCGGGCTTCCGATGACTGCAATGCTGAACGGGCAGTGTGCGCGTGTGCACACCGGCCCGTTCGGCAGTGATCCCCAGATCATATTAAAAACCAGCCGAAAATACACTGCACGATTATCGTACGATTGCGGGATTTCCCGCAATTCTCGTACGAGAATCGTGCAGTGTATGGGCACCTTTAGTTGTATGTGAAACTGCACTACTGTATAGAGAAAGGACGTCAGAAACCCCTTTGGGGAGGTACATGAGGACTGCATATTGGAACTAAATTTCTGGCTTGTGGGTGCACCTTGTAGAATAGCCCCTGGGGGCCTGTTCACACGACGTCCGTTTTCTGTGCTGACCTGATCCGTACGCTCCTGTACTAAAAATGCATCCCAATGTATCCCTATGTGTTTTATGGGCTACAGTTCTAACGTACGCTGTTACGACAGAAAAAATACTGCATGTCACATTTTGTACAGCCAGGAAACGGACCGGAAACGCAAAACGCGTCAAAAACGCTATGCACTGCAGCTAACATACTGACAGCCCCACTCCAGCAGTTTTTTTAACTGGAACCCATCAAAAACGCGGGCAAAACGTACTGCATCAGTAGCACCGCGTCTGCAGATCCGCACCTGATCCGGACCTGATATCATGTGAACAGGCCCTAAAGGGTCTGGATTTGACTCTGGTTTAGTACCTTGCTTTTTTTCTCATCTTAGAGCGAGGGGATAGGCTTTAAAAACAAAGGGAAGAGGTGTACACAACAGCAGGATCATCACAGGATGGTGTGGGTATGCGAAATAGTGAGAAAACCATGAAAGAGAATGGGAAGACAGCTGGAACCAGGCTAAGAGGTATTCCCAAGCATATGTGAAATGATAGTCACACCACCATCCTCGCCAGACCCCAATAGACCATTTTAGCACTTCAAAAAAGAGATCATGAAGAAAGACTGGGAAAGGGGGCCAACTGCTTTTCATGCAGAGATCAGCATCCTGTCTGACCTATGTCAGCATGCCTTGCAGATGAGAGCTCTGCTTAAACTACTGATTGAACACACTGGGGGTGCAGGTCTGGAAAAATGGCCTGTTTTTGCTGCATGAACCCTCCCAGGTGGCAGATCAGATCAGCTTTTTGGAAAACCAAACTATCCCTCCAAAACTAGACATGCCGCCGCCGCCGCCCCCCAGACCTCAGGTACTACAAAAACACTTGACCCAGAGACTTCCTAAAGTAAAAAGGCTCCTAAATTTTACAGCCATTAGCCTATTAACTCCTGTGGCGATCTGCTGTTTGAGCAAGACTCCCCAGCTATAGCACAATTCGGATGGAATTTCACATCCTTGACGCCTCACTTAAAGGAGAACTATGAGGTGAGTGCTTTTCACTCACATACCGGCGTTTGCTCACTTCTCGATCCTGTCACAGCTCTCTGCCGTGACAGGGGAGTGGCTTGATTCCCCCCGCTCCGATCCTCCAGCGCTGACTGGCAGAATGGACAGGGGAGGGGGCGGGTACAGCTGGCTCTGCCTCTAGATAGGCAGAGCCAGCTGTCACTCACGCAGCTGGGCGGATCCAGACATAATTGTCGGGATCCACTTCAGCGTGTCAGTATACCGCGAGCTGTAGCTCGCAGTATACTGCGGCATCTCAGTATACCGCGAGCTGTAGCTCGTGGTATACTGAGCTTAGGGTGACGGGAGGACGCTAGTTTGTGTCCCCCCGTTACCCTAAGGAGAACTATGGGAAAAAGCCAGAACCCCATAGTTCTCCTTTAAGACCTTCTCAGTCGCCACTTCACAAACAGACTACCTATCGCAGCCTCCTGATAAGCCCTACGCCAGCTTTTTATATGATACCCAAGGATTCTCCTTTTAGCTTGGCCCCTGCCTCACCAGGACAAACATCTTTTAGAGATCCCAGATACTTTATATTGTTATGGCACAAGACTGGGGAGTCTGCAACTACACCAGATGTCTTGCACCCACCATCAACATACACTGGACCTGTGGGATTATATCCCACATGTGCCTTTTTCCTAACCCTGGCATGTCCCACCCATACTGTTGGCCCTGTATGCAACATGGGTGAGCTACTTTATATGCACTTAGAGAAGCTATAGAAAAAAGCCGGCTTTCTCTATTTGAGACCCACTGAACTTTAGAACAGCCAACTACGTTACCAAACAGTTTCTGTTTTTCAACTATTGGACAATACACAGGACAAAACCATCCTTGGCAGATGCTTTATCACCTTTTGTACCCATTGGGGGAAACCATTGTTGGTTCTGAAGACCATTGTTCTCCTAGAGACTGGTAATGCTGTGCTGGTGCAGCTCTACAGTATGTGGGGAAACAACCACCGGACTCTTTATGCACTCATTGCACTTATTGTTCTGGCCTTTCCAACTTGTTGATTCTTCAGACACACTAATTGTTTGTTCTAGGACCAGGCAACAGACAAGCGAGGTAGATCTTTTCTGAAGGGCACTATCAAAGGGGAAAATTACCCTGGTCAACATCTACATGCTGAACACCAACCAAGTTCTCGCCCTTGAAACCTGTTTAGCTAAACTGGAGGAATTTGCAGATAGGATCACAATTCTAAAGGATAACCTGAATGTAGCGCTTAAACCCCTAATAGATATATAAGATCTTGTCGAGATGGTACGGAGTCCCCTCTTCCCTCCATGAGATCTTTCCCAAGCTCATCCTTTATGCTGGCATTGCTAACAGTAGATGGGATTGATACTTCATATCTTTTGGGACTGTTTGGTGCTCAGATCTTTCTGGGATGGGGTACACCGCTACCTACTACACCCTCACCCTCCTGTCCAAAAGCCCAAATACAAAAGACACAAACCACCGCCAGAGTATGCATCCTGCTACGATGAAAACAAATTTCTCCTTCCCGACCTAGCTATGGAGGACATCACCTCCACACTCAAGCAAGGAATAAGGATCAGAAAGACCTAGTTTTACTGGGTGGACTTTATCTACATGCAAGACCGTTCTCTCATCGGGGTAGGGAAGCTTATCTAGTGGAATGATTTAGGCATTGTCCCTTACCCCCTCCTCACACTTTCTCCCTTGCCTTTCCCACCTGACCGATTATTCCTCTCCGCTTACCCAGTTGCCCACAAATCTCCTTTCCTTTAAACCTATGCAAGATCCTAGCCTAATCTTCACCAAACTCAACACTGCAATTTTTTCCCCTTCATATCCTGTCCAAATATAAATACAATTGGTAGGAGCAAGAGGTGCTATATGGACCCTGTACTGAGCAGTGGTACCAGTTATATAATCCAGGTTTTTACTTCACTAAACTCTGTTTATGTGAAACCTGCTGGAGGTAACATTACCGTATGTGCGCACTGTATCTGTATATATATATTTGTTTTGGAATAACCTTGAATTTTGTTGTATGTCTCTTTGCAATTTGTGAACTGTACTAATGTACCGACATGACTTTCTTTTTGAATTAAGAATTTAAAAAAAATTCAGATGGACGGGCATGGCTGTGTGCTTGTTCACAGCCATGCCCGAAGTGGCTGTATGCGTCGCTAGACACACACAGCCCTGCAGCATGCCACGCCCCTCCTCCCCCCCAGTAGTTTGACTGAAGGCAGAAGGAGCCTATGGCTTCTCTGCCCTCAGTATCCTCCCCCAGAACCAGAAAGTTTGGGGCGGAGGATTGCTGCTGGGAACGGCGGCGACAACTGGGGAGTCTAAAAGGTACTGGACATTTTTTACCATTATGCAGAGAATGCATTAAGGTAAAAAAAAACGCCCAGCCTTTAGTAATACTTTAAATGGTGCAAACATATAATTATATGAAGATTTTTCTGTAGCAGTACAAAAAAGAAGAAGGGCTAAGTTCTAAAAAAAAGTGTTAGCAGAAGCTGAAAGTATCATATGCTATATTTTATCCTGCAAGAGGAAGGTTCAATGCTCTGTTCTACATAGGTTTTTTGAGGTTAGACAACAGACAGCGCATCCCATACATTTCCAGACCACTGTCCAAACCTGCTCAAGTGACAGAAATAAGACTACTCTTATTTATTATACATCAATCCCTTTAGTTTTCAAACCACATAAGCTGGCCTTAGAGCTCAAAGAACAAGGACCATTCACAAAATCTCTTAAGCTGGTTTGAATTTCAACTGATTCCGGCTGTACGTGGCCCTGTTGGCACCCTCCCGCTCAACACAAGTCTATTTTTTTATTTACTTTTGTTGAAGGAGCCAGTCCGAAAATTCTCGGCCGAACAGTGCTTGCATCTGAGCAGCAGCAGCTGAACACAATAGCCAGTAGCAGGTATTCCTCCATTCATGCAGAATAGGGTACGTGGCCAGTTAACAAGAATGACTGGGTCTGAGGGAAAGCAGCACACAGAAGGTCCCAGCGCAGCCTGTATCTGGAAAAATATAAAAGGACTTTTAATCTATCCAGTCGTTTTCTCCCCACTATGAATAGTTTGGTGGTTTTGGAGGGTGCCCATATACATAAAATGATCAAGGATTGGGGGGGTCATCATAAGTCTATGGGCACCTTTAGTTGTAGCCAATTAATAGTATATAAGAACTACAAACTGTTTTACCACAACGTTTACTTTGTGAACCCCAATGAAGTAGATGGAAAAGGATACTGCCACATTATGGGAAAGCCTGAGTGTTCTTGAGATTGCAGACAAGTTTGGACAAAAGCTGTAAAAGCAATGAAAATAGAAAATAAAGCATACTGAATAATATGCATTCATTGTAAAATCTACATCTGAAGGCACTAACATTAGTCCCATTCAAAAATCAGTTAGTAGGCCCTGCAAAATTAGGCCTACAGTTGACACATTTCAGAAAACTGATTTAAAGCATTTGTGAAGTACAGTTATATAATATATTTTAATAGTTACGGTACTTGAATGCATTTTTAAGATATAATGAGTATTGTGAGGGACATAGGTTAAAAAGGCAGATATGGACAAGTTTTAGGATCTGTATAGCACTTGAACTTTTTTTGTAAATCATCTTCAAGACAGGTCAATGTTGTAAGAAAAAAAGAGAAAGTCAACTGAAATACTTACAACTTCTCTGCAGTTACTGCAAGAATGATGAAAAGGTAAATAAGCCACAGAACCTAAACAGGAAACAAAAGGTTACATAAAATGTACCAATGAACTGTAGTGTTTTGTCGGAATATATAGCTAAAACATTCAGTTGTGCCAATACAAAACCCAAGTAAAATACCACACTGCCATAACTTACCCCAGCTACCTGACAAAGGGGTTTCCTACTTTGAATCATGAAATCTTGTAATTATTTACTATGCACAAAAACAAGTGTGTAATATACACACACACACACACACACACACACACACACACGCATATACATGCATATATACACAGTCATGGCCACAAATATCACCTCTTCATTTCTGTCAGATTTGGCTTTTTTTGTTCTCCACTTTATTGTGTCATACCAATACAAACAAAAGATTTATATGCATTTATCATGGCAGGCTTCTTAAAGCAACTAAAACTGTAGAAAAAAAAAAAAAGTAGAATACTTACCTGTCCCTCCGTCCAATGCCTTAGACAAAAGTATTTGCTACAGGCAGAGCCAGATGTGCCCGCCGCCTCCCCTCTCCGTTCCTCCAGTCAGCGCTGGAGGAACAGAGAGGAGAAGGGGGAAATATCTGCGGGTAGCGGTGACTGACAGTGTACACATAATGTATATATAATTTATTTTCACTTTATTCTATATATCGTTATACTACAAGCTATCCTACTGTACTTGCTCAATCTTGGCAATATAAAATTCCATATGAAGTTTTACACAAGCACTTCAAAAAGTAGATTATTGCTAGGTTGACATTAATATATACTTACATACAAGAAGATAGCCAGTGGAAAAAGTGATGGAGGAAAACTGCAGAACGCCCCATCCAAGTAACTTAAGTATCCATCACTATCATTGCAATCTGGTGTTCTTCTGATAAAGTCACAGCGAAGAGAGGCATTCCATTTTCCCACCTCTTGACACTGCACAAATAAAAACCACAAGACTCAAGTAAATTTAAAGCTAACCAATTACAAAAGTTTAGACTACGTCCACAATTCTTAATCAAAGATAAGCCAACAGATCTGCTGAGAATGAGATTCAGCCTAGTTCATTAGTAAAGGGGTCCACTGGTCCTCTATGGCCATTTTCCTCCTCTTCAATCCCTGTTTGGTCTCCTTCCCACTATGACCAGTTCAGCCTTCTTCTATCCATAACTGTTCTCCTTCCCTCCTCGATCACACCGGACCGCTTCCAACCATGCCTCCACTCTTTCCTCCTATGATCACTTCTGCGCAATTCTCTGCATACTGAAAAGTGTAAAATAATCTAAGGTGTATGTCCTATCTTCACCTTTGGGTTACAAGGTGCTTTCTTCAGACCTGCCAGATTGAGGTGGGCTGAGGAAGGGAGTAGTAAAGAGGATCTCGGAAGGTATAAAGCAAAGTAAGAGGAAATGAGAAGGTGGGGAGGATGGAGAGGGGTTGAGTGAAGAAGAAGAAATGATGGATAAAGAAAAAAAAGGGGAAAAAATGGGGGGTAGATCCCACTGTCCCTGCCCTATCCAATCGGGACACTAGAACTAAAAGTCTAAAAGTGAGGAGTTGAGATCCTCCATCATTTGTATCTCATATTCTTTCCCTCCCAAATACTGCAGCTCACAGTGGGAGGGTTTCAGCAGTCAGTGCTGTCAACCCAGAGAGCAGGACTAGGTGTTGCCAGGTGCTGATTGACAGGATACAGACTTGTGAATCAGTGGTGACAATGTTGATAGCCACGCCCCCTGCACCCTTTTTTTCCCACTGTAGTGCAAGCAGGCATAGCCTACATGAGTGGCATCTATGCTCTGAATTCTGGAGCAGTGCAGCATCATTGCCATACCATCACCGGAAGCAATATTAGGTGGACTTCACTGGCAGGATGAACAGGTATTTGTAGGACTTTTCAGGGGGATGAAGAGAAAACTGTGAGGGCAGATGGACTTATAATTGAGTGCACTTTTTTTTTTTAATTAATGGGAGGCCATAGTTCTAATTTGAGTTTGTTGAAGGTTTAACTGTATATTTCTGGATTGGACAAGGTGAATAGGAGGGGTGAATGACATCATGTCCACCTTGTCCAACCAGAGAATGCCATCTATTCATTGAAAAAATATGAGTTTTCTGAATGGTGGGGGTGCCGAGTGAGCAACTCCCTGTGCAGTGGGGAAGCTGCTGGTACCACAGCTAGAAGAGACCAGCTATCACTGAATGTAGCATGGACTACTACAGTAATTTTCAGCATCCCTAGTGGCTCTCCAGAGATTAGATATGGATACTTACATTGAGCCAAGTTAGATCAATGCAAGTTTCCATAAAAAAAATCATCCCTGGAGTTCTACTTTAATATCAATACTGTAAGACTGCACGACAAGGCTATACCTACCTATTGACAAAGAACTCTTTCACAACAGGTGAATACATACTACAGGTGGATACATTTGAATAAAATATTGAACTGCTATTGTTCCTTTGCTTCTTTCACTTTCTTGCAAATAAATCTGCTATCAGAAAATGATGTATTTGTATGTGCATGCATACATCTCCTTTTTCTTCTCCTATGTACATGACCTATGTGCAGGGTCATACATAAACATACTTCAACACATAATAAAAACATAAACTAAACAAAATATTAAGAAATACTATTTAGGATTAACACCTCCAAGATTTCTACTTACATCAACCTCTCCTGTAGTGTAGTTTCCATAGTTCCCATGTCTCTCTGAAGCTAGAAGCCTGTAGAATAGTGTGAGGTTGGCGGCTTCTTGACTTGAAGATGCAGCAGTCGCAAACCATCGTGAAATGGCAAGGGGCATCCTGTGTTTGACAAGCCACAGTTAACTGTACATCCAAGGAAAGGCTTTATAAGCCGTCATTTTGTCAGGCCATGCCTCTCTAACATGCTATGCCTCCTTCCTGTCTAGATACAGTTGTTGTGCATTCATTTCCTTCCCAGTTAAAGATCATGTGAGACAAAGGAGGAAGTAAAAATATAATTCAAACAAGTCACATTTCAATCACACTCACACCCAAATATATGGTCTTGCTAAACAGCCAAAAAGTGGCTATGACGACATGAGCTTATTCAACAATTTCCTAAAATACAAACTTTTTTTATTTAGATTAGCTTAGATGCAAGCCACTCCTTTAGAACTGCCTAGGCTGATCATGCAAGTTTTTTTAGTCAAAAGTGTAAAAAGCTAGACTTAAACAGCTTGATCTTAAATGTGTGACGTTATGCAACTCTATAAAGATAAGGTCAGTATTCCGGTACAGGTAGAATACATGAAATGGACCATTAATATCTCATGCAATGTACAAAGTTCATAGCACTTTAAGAGGCATAGCACTGACATATTCTGTAGTGCTTTATAGAAAGCACTAAAATATCAGGGATCCCAACCTGAAAAAAGTAATTGCAGGGAGGTGCCCTCTGCCATTCATGGGGGGGGGGGGGGGGAGCACCCCCCCTGAAATGATGGCAGATAGCAAAGAAGCTATTGCTTCCCATGCTATCTGGTTTTTGTTTTTAGTATTCCGACAGCTGCTGCTGTCAGGATAAAAAAAACAGCATAGGAATGAATAGCTAGATTGCTATTGGCTATTTCAATTTGCAATAGCACCCGCACTCTGCTGCTGTCAATCAGCAGAGGAGGACCTGATGGAGAACTTCAGGTCCACCTCTGCTGATTGACAGCAGAAGTGGGCGGGTGCAATAGCTAGTCTGCTATTGGCTATTGCAAATTGAAATAGCCAATAGCAATCTAGCTATTTATTTGTATTTACTCTGACGTCGGCTCCTATATCAGAATAAAAAACAAAACAGACAGCAGGGAAAGTTTACTCTGCTAGATCGAGCAGAGTAAACCTTTCTGGGAGAAAATGTTTTTCTCCCAGGCGGCCAGGAGCCGCTAACTAATAGCCGCAGACTCCCGGAGCATCCAGGAGAGTTGGGATTTCTGAAATATTGCAATTGCCACCCTGTTTTTATCCCGATTAACCGGTTAATTGAACTTAATAATCGGCTAATCGTTTTTGAAAATAATCATTAGCTGCAGCTAGATAAATGGTCACCCTACACCAGGGATCCCCCACTAACCACCAGGGATCCTCCACAGAGCCCCCCACTAACCATTAGGGAGCCCCCACTACCCACCTGGGAGCTACCACAGAGCCACCAGTGATTATTAGGGAGCCCCCACAGATCCCGCACTGACCAGCAGAGAGCCCGCACTGACCACCTGACAGTCCGCATTGGCCACCTGAGAGCCGCCTCTGCTGCACCCACACGCACCCGTTAAACTCTCTGGACCTCTGGTGAGAGCCCGCACAACCCTCCCGAGACCCTGGAGACATCGGGCGGCGAACCCAGAGCAACAGAGTATGTAGCTTCATATTATTCTGTATTGCTGGGATTTGTAGTCCTCTATAGCTGATGTCATTCTGCATTGCTGGGATTTGTAGTCCTCTATAGCTGAAGTCATTTTGCATTGCTGTATAATAATATTGCTGGGAATTGTAGTTCTCTATAGCTGTTGGTATTCTTCATTGCTGTATAATGTATTGCTGGGATTTGTAGTGCCCTATAGCTGATGTTGTTCTGCATTGCTGTATAATGGTATTGCTGGGAATTGTAGTTCTCTATAGCTGTTGGTAGTCATTATTGCAGGGATTTATAGTCCTCTATAGCCGATGGTATTCTGCATTGTTGTGTAATGTATTGCTTGGAATTGTAGCTCTCTATAGCCAATGCCATTCTGCAATGCTGTACAATGTATTTCTGAGATTTATAGCCCTCTACAGCTGGTGATATTTTTCTACATTGTTGTACAGGTGAAACTCGAATAATTAGAATATCGTGCAAAAGTAATTGCAGTAAGTGCTGAAAAAGGGGCCCAAACCAAGTACTGAGTACATATGCATACTTGTACTTTTCAGAGGTCCGATATTGTTCTATGTACAATCCTTGTTTTATTGATTGCATGTAATAATCTACTTTTTTGAGGTTGTGGATTTGGGGTTCTTGGGGTTTTCATGAGCTGTAAGCCATAATCATCACAATTATGACAAATCACGGCTTGAATTATCTTGCTTTGCATGTAATGAGTCTATCTCATGTATTAGTTTCACCTTTTAAGTTGCATTAGTGAAATAAATGATTCGAGTTTCACCTGTATAATGTGCTGAGATTTGTAGTCCCTCTACAACTTGGAGTTAGTGGCAGAACTACCAGGGTCGCAGCAGTCATACACGCGCACAGCACTGACGAGGCATCCCTCCACTACCAGCGTTCTATAATTTTCCTCAACCGATAAATTTCTCTACCGCATCTCTTCCAGGTGTGTATGTCATGAAAACAGCTGATTCAGATGACTCGGCCCCACTGGAAGTGACACAGTCGAGAAAATGTATAGGATCGAGAAAAATTATAGAACACTGACTTTGACACTGTACGGCCCCTCCCACAGCTCACAGCCCAGAAGCATGGACAGCCAGCGGCGGCCTACAGTGGGCGAGAGTGCCTAAGTAGTGGACATGGAGAGGAGTAAGTCCAGAACCATGTAGGGAGCCCAGTGGGAGGAGAGCACCATCACCTAGCCAGTCACCCCTTTCATGGACTTCCTAGGAGTACTCACATCACCCGACCATTCACACTACCGTTACATGGATGGCAAAAGTGGCAGACGGGCGGGGAAAATGCGGGGAAGAGGCAGACGGGAGGGTGGCCAAGTTGCTGCACCATGGGCCTCTGGGTTGTACTTGCCCCCTGGGCTAAAAGTTGCCAGTCAGCCCCTGCTCCCCCTCCTCTGCAGTGGTAAATCATCACGTCTATACACGGTGTATAGATGCGAGTTTGCTGAGAAAGATTCCAATGCTGCATCAGAGAAGGAGACAGGCTGGAGCCTTGGTTCTCAACTGATGGGTCGAGACCCAAAAGTGGGTCGCAACCTCATGTTCAGTTGGTCGCGACATGCCTTAATTCTAGGTGAGAGACTCCTCAGCCTCCCCCTAGCGCTGCACCATCAGTTCTTGTGCATTGCAGCCATGTCAGCTTGAGGTGTGGTGCAAGTATGGCCATAAGAGAGCTCCATCCATAAGTGCGCATTGCTTACAACTCCCATGTGTGCCCTGTAGAGGTGCCTGGACCGGACTGACATGACATTCTGGCTCCCAGCACCTCTACAGGGCGAGCAAGGGAGCTGTACAAACACAATGAACATATGGATGGAGCTCCGTCACAGCACAGCAGCCCACACTGGACATCATGCTGAGGATCCATTTCACTTCTCAAAAAAGGTCTTTACCGAAGATAAAAATCTTTACTTATGGAGCAAATACATACTGTTAGTTCCTCCCACCGCATGCTTAACTGCAAACGCATTTCACCATTCCATCTCTATGAGTAAGCCAGAATGGTGAAATGCGTTAGTGGTTAAGCATGCGTGGGGATGATCTGACAGTATGCATTTGCTCCATAAATAAAGACTCATCTTCAGTGAAGACCCTTGGAGTGAGGCTATTTCTGGATTTGGTTGCTATAGGCAGCGGCATGCTTGTTTGCCTGCACCTGGGATGCAATTACAGTGCAAGCCGGTTCTGGAATTTAAGCAGTGTTTGCTGTGGATTACTTTTCAAATTGTATATTTAACAGACCAAAGGAAGTACATAAAAAGAGGTTTATTGTTGGGGTTCACATACACTTTGTGTGACAACAATGCTGTCACACAAACTGATTACTGGGCAATAAAGATAAAATTTAGACCTACTTTAATGACAATCCACATATGAGTTTCAAGGATAACAGAAATCAAGTAGAAGGGTGATCTTGGTGTACTGCAGCATACTTGTGGTTATGAGAAAGGTAAAACTATACTTTGTGCCCCTGTACAATTCAGATGTTCACTCATCACAATGGATGGCCAATACTGTAGCAAGGATGGTTTCCTAAAGTGTTGGGCATCTTAGTCCTGCCTCTACATGGCATAAACACTATATTAAAATCAAAGATTTTGTTGTTGTTTTAGGTAACACAATTGTGCTGCTTTGTGTACCACTTTAAAAAGAACACTAAAGTATACAGGACCTGAAATCCCAGAACAGTTTATTTACTTTTCCTGAAAATTCATCATGCATTCTTCTCTAGATGTGCTGGCGTAGACTTTTTCTTTTTTACAAAACAGACCTTTGTGGTCAGACTTTCTTCACACACACAGACTTCTAAGTGACTCCAGATTTTGCACTTACATTTATTTCATACCAATTTTCTATGGTTTCATGAAAGACACAATATTGACTGTAATAAACATGGGGAAAAAATAAGCCTGCCTGTGAAACAAATGGCATCGGTCATGGGGAATTTATCCAGACCGCTGCAGAAGAAAGATAGTGAAGGTCATTGAAGATGCATGGCGCCAGATATATTATGGACTAGTCAAATTATCCACAATCTGTGACTAAAATATCATCCATTACATGCATCTTAAGTGAGAATGTAAAGCAAATAGTCTTAAAAACATCAGCAGGGGAGGGGCATATTACCCAGAAAATTGCCGAAGCTAGCAGAAACAACAATGTACGAGAGAATGTTACCACTCAACTCCTACAAGGACACAATCCGCATAGAATTTGTACAACTTCCCTGTGCGCTTTGCTTTTCTTTCACAGTCCAAAAACATACAGGTAGGCCAAACAGAATTGGTCCTAAGGGTCTATTCATACCATATGCGTTGGGCTGAGCTAGGCAGCCTTGCCAAATGCATTCTCAATGCACAGAAAGGGCAAATTGCTGTACATTTCATTAGTTTAGTTCACACCAC